GTAAAAATGTATTGAGGGGATCGATATGGCCCATGGGCCACTTGTGTTTAATAATATACCATGGAAGAATTCTCCTAGAAGTGTGATTATAGTTAGAAATATGTCATCTTCAACATTTACATTATCTCAGAAATATGTCGTCTTCAACATTTACAATATCTCTTATCAAACTCTTTCTTTTTTAGAGCAATCCAGTCAGAATTCAGAGTTTTCTCTGAGTCAGTCTTCCCAAGGAACAGTAAGTGACTACTGGAGACCATCCGCATACCATCGAGAAAAGCTTAACAGGAGCATGGAGATACTGTCTGATGGTAAATTCACACCCTTACGCTTCACCCTGAATGCATCATTAGATGAAGTACAGCAGTCTACAAAAGACTATGTGACACAGAAAGCAAATGAAGTTATGCAGTATGCCTTTGAATGCATTGCACCTGGCCAAGAAAATGCATTAATGCACTTGCTTTATCAAAAATACTACAAGCCAGAGGAAAAAAAGGTAGAAACTGATGCATTGACAGAAGCCCTAATAAAAACATACGATCAGGCTGATGGACATCAGAGTCAAGTGCAGATTCTCTCATTGTTCGTGAACAACTTCTCCAAAACTGAACTTTGTAAAATGGTGCATGGTTTAACAAAGTACACAATAGATTGTGCAAGAAAATATGCATCAACTAATGGTCCTGGCCAAATTATTGATCAGCCAAAGATTAATCGGATCAGACTTACAAAGTATCAAATTCAGCATTTTGTCGAGTTTTTGTGCAGTCCATCAATTTGTCAGGTGGTTGGATATGGTTCAAAGACACTCTGTTTATCATCTGGATTACAAATCAACATTCCAAAAATGATTAGAACAATGATTGCCTCAAGGATAATCCATGCTTATGAAATGTTCTGTGAAGACAGTGAGATGGTGACACCTTCAAGAGCAACATTGTTCAAAATTATAAAAGTCTGTTCTGCATCACAGAAGAAGTCTTTGAAAGGACTGGACAGTTATACCGCAGATGGAATGGAAGCAGTAGAGTTGTTACAGAAAATACTGAATAAACTTCAAGAAAATGGCCTTTCAAGAGACATAACAATGAACTTGATAGAAAAGCTGTCAGATGTGAATCAACACCTTAAATTCGATCTGAAGATGCATGTCACACAGTCCATCACTTGTATTGACCATTGCACAACATATGCCCTATCAGATGAGAAAAATCCAGATTTCAGTGAAATCTGTGATCATCAGCATACTGAGAGTTGCATGAAATGTAGTAGCACTACAACAGTTATTGATGAAATCTCAAGTTGTTTAACAGCAACAAATTTATCAATTGACTTGCAGAAAGAATTGGAGCATGATTTTGAACGTTCAAGAAACAATATACAGGAATGGAAAGCCCATATTACAAAAACTGTAAACCAGGATATCAGTAAATGCCAGATTATACAAAATATGAAGAGTAACCAAGCACTGTTGATTTTGGATTGGGCTATGAAATTCCTGCCACAAAGTTTTCGTGAATCACAGCAAAACTGGTTTGGAAAACAGGGCATCAGCTGGCATGTCACATGTGCAATATTCCTTGAACATCCCAGAGATAATGCAGAAAGTCAGGAAAACAAATTCAGTCTTGTATCATTTGTACATGTATTACAAGGAGGAAATCAGGGATGGTTCTCAGTTGCCTGTATTCTCAAAAACAGCTTAGAAAAACTCAAATGTCTCAACCCTAACCTGTCAGAAGTATATTTAAAGTCTGACAATGCAGGATGCTATCATAGCATGCCACTGATGTCTTACATTTGGAGGAATTATGACTTTCTACAGCTCAAAATAAGAGAGTACAATTTTAGAGAGGTCCAAAGTGGCAAAGATCTATGTGATTAAAGAACTGGAACATGCAGAATGCACATTTTGAAGTATGCAAATGAAGGAAACGATGTGGAAAATGCAGATCAGCTGAAAAAAGCATTGGAAAGTCATGGAGGAGTTAAAAATACATTCATTACATTGATTGATATCAGCACAGAAAATCACCCTGTTTTGTCAGGAACTATCAGAAACTTCAAAATCAGTCAGATGAACAATTTTGTGTTTGAGGAAGAAGGCATCAGAGTGTTTAGAGCCTATGGAATTGGTCCAGGACACTTGATCCCAAAGAGTACGCTAGAGCAAATATCTCAGAATCTTGCCTTTGACGAGACCAAAATGAAGTTATTTTTTTTTTTATTTGTCAATTCAGACTGTGTATTGTAATTTCTTTTGATCTTTGAAATTGTGTTTCATGCTATATACAAAATATTTATATTTTTCTTTTAAAGGTCATAGAAGATTCCACTGTCATACCAGAATGTATGCAATCATCCCAGCTGAAGTTTCCATTTGCATCTCCACAATCTGATGAACAGGATGACAACAATGGAGACCTTAGCTGCACTGAACCTGGCTGCATCAGATCATTTAGAAAACCATCAACATTAGAAAAACATTTGGCTGTAGGAACTCATTCTTACCATGAGACAAATAGCAGTACAGATATTGCCATGGAACTGTGGGCAGAACAATGTAGTCAATCCTTGTGTTTCAACCAATCTCACTCCATCCAATTCTCTAACGCAAGTTCCGAAAGTCAGTTATCCCAGCTGAAAACAGGATGGGCCTTGAAGTCAGACAGAAAATTTGTCAGATTCTCAACAGTGGTAAAACAATTTGTAAAAAACATTTTTGATGAGGGCGAAAAAACTGGGAAAAAAGCAAACCCTGTGACAGTTTCTTTACAAATCCGCAGTGAACGAGATGAAAACGGCAATCATGTTTTTTGTCCAGATGACTGGATCTCTGCTCAACAAGTTCGCAGTCTTTTCGCTCAATTTCAAATGAAGCTGCTAAAACAAAGCACTGACAAGGAAAAGAGACCAAAATTAGAACTTACTGTGAAATCTGAAGAAGATGAAGATTTAAATGAGGTCCTCAAAGATCTGAATGCTATGGAAGCATACGACATGGTGAATTCTGTCACAGATAAATGCCAGCTGTGATTTTTTCTTGTAAGATATCAACTCTGTCACAGTCCATGTGATTTATGTATATTGAAGCTTCCTTTTTAATAGTTTAAGCTCATTGTTAGTTCAGATAGCTTTAAACTTGTGATTGTTCTTAATTTGCGTTGTAGTTTATGTCATTCTAAAGGAAAGATATTTTTATGACATGCTTGTCCATGGATTAGGCTTATATTTGGCATATATTTGTTTAATATATTGTCATCATGAAGGCATTTTTACTAGAAGCCTTCAAAGTTATTTTAGACAAAGCTTGAAAGGGACTTAATTGTATCTACATGTTCATGCTTGATTTGAAAACTGCAATGCTAACGATTTTGGTAAGACTTGAAATACTATGTTATTCATGATTTTTAACATTAATGGACAGAGACCAGAAAAACTTATGCAATAGTAGGGTGTCTTTCGTCCAACTAGCTGTGTATTTGTCTGTAAAGAATTTTTCAAAAATGCTACTCCTTCTACAATTTTGGGTCTGATTTCAGACTTCATTATAACTTGGCACACAAGTAGACTTAAAAATTCACTTAAATAAATATTTCTATTTGTTACTTTTTCATTTAGTTAACTACTATTGCCAGGAAAACTAAAATTTACAAATATCTATGAAATATTTTGAAAATGCTACTCCTTCTACTATTTTGATTTGAATTTAATATTGACTTGGCACATAATGTGATACATAGATGTCTTTATCGGTTTTTGATGTCGATCAATGATGTGGCAACAGTTAATTTGAAAAAAAAGAAATATCTGCAATTCTTTTTTCACATCTACAGTTTTGGTGTAATTGCAAAACAGCTTAGCAAAAAAAATGGGACTAAACCCAGAATCATTGTTTTACATTTTTCGTCCTTTGTAGTGGAGCTACAGTCTCGTCAGAGACTTCAGGTCTATCCACATGTACTGATCTAGAAGTATTTTTTTTGCAAAATGTTCAGTCACTGTACATATCATTTTTGAAGTGAAAATATTGATTTTTTAAATAGTAGCCTAATATAGTTTATAAAAGTATGAAACAAAGGGAAATAACTCTGTCGCAAAAAATCACAATTTTTGGGAAAAATTCCTCAATTTCAAAATCGCACAGTGTCACCAATAATCAAAACCCGAATAATTGCCTGTAGGAAATTATTATTGAGTTCACAATCTTTATCTTGAAACAAAATAATCTAAAATTTAAGCGTCCAAACCCAGTTTTAAAACTTCTCCAATATCGACCCTTTTCCCACATTTTTCAGTCTTTTTTATATCAAGAGTTATTCCCCCTGTGTTTAAATATAGCATTGATTTTTAAGACAAAATAATTTGTGCAAAATAAAATAAATAATATATATTTTCTTTTGTTCTTACTTTTGATCACTCAATATTTTAATGAAAAAGAAGAAAATGGTGAATGAAAATAGCAATTTTTACAAAATTGTGAATACAAAATGATGATAAAAATGGTGCCTCATGGGGTACCCCCTTGGTAGGCCCCAATATTGAAAATTTTCAGAAAATTTTTTTCTTGTGATTATATGCTATATTGTTGGAGTCTTTTGGGAAAATTTCATTAATGTGAGTGACACTTCATGTATGGCCCCCCTGGTTTTCTCATAGACCCACAGTTAATAATAGAAACTAAAATGAGACCCAAGAAATAATCACAGGATAAGATACATAAACTAATGGACCTTATTTTGTTTCCTTAAAAAAGTACAAATTATTCTTTTCTTTACAGGTTATAAAATTAACACCAAATAAATACAGTATGTCCCTTTATCTTAAATGCCAAAAAGAAAGAAAAAGTTCCAAGTAAAAATTAATTAATTAATTAATTAATTAATACTGGATCTTGAAAAAATCATAAACATAACAAAGATTAATTTATATAAATCTTGAAATACATTAAATTCCCTTAATATCGACATATTTTGTGATTGGATTTTGCATCAGTGTCAAGAAAATCTTACAATCACAAAGTTGTTTCTGTTGACATGCCCAGTAGATCTAGCTTTTCGTGTATCACATCCAATGGAGTTGTTTGCAATCGAGGACGCGGATCCATAGTAAGTCTTTTCACATGGTAACGGAAAGGGAATCATTCCCGTCTGTATCTACAAAGAGCAAATAAAGAACACTGTCTTTTAAAAGATGTGACGAGATTTGCAGTGATCTATTTTTCGAAAAAAAAAAATAGACGCTTATCTTTACAAATGCACTCACCAGGAAAAGGTAGTGTGTTGAATACCTTCTCCATTTTCCATTTTGGGAAAGTCACTTTTTTCCCATGATGGCTTTTGGGTTATGACACAATCTTGCCATTACAATTATTGTTTTGAATATATTTTATTGACATCATGTCAAAGGGATTTGACAAAAGTCCCTAAGACTTAGATAGTCCTCTCCCATACACAGAATATCATAAGCCATACAATGTTTAAAAAGATTTACAATTTTACAATAATATACATGAACGAAGAAGAACAAAAACACAAGCTATTATTGCCAAAAATATATATATTAATATTCTGTTGATTAAAATGACGACAATTACCATAAAACATAGTTTCAAAATAGGTAGTGAATTCAAATAATTGTTAATTGAAACAACCGGTATCCTGAATAAGCCATTTTTAAACCTAGTCAGCACTGGTAACTGAACATTCTAGGTACATCACACTAACCTATTACTTTGTACACTGGTTATCATGCACTGAACATGAATTAAGTGAATTTTGTTCGTTTACTTTGTTGACTTTGAACTTATATAACATGTTTCATTGTGCATGTTTTTTTTTTAAATCAATATATCGAGACACAAATACTTACCAGTATAAATCTGTAAATTGAATACAAGTACAAGTAATTAAGACATGAGCAGTTGAAGGAACTTGAAAGCACTTACTGCAACAATACTGCAACACGGATATTTGGTTTATACTGTTTCAACTGAATGACCGGATCTTTTGTCTTGCAACGGGATTCCATCTCACGAAATTTTGTCGAATTCTTTACTCCACGCCGTGAAAACATACGTTTTACCACTGTTCCACTCGCATTAGGTATTGTAATAGAGACAATTTCTAAATTTTTCTGCTTTTTATTAGAAGATATTTGTTTTCTTCATCGTCTTATTAGATATTAATAAAAGTTCAGAACACAATAAGACGTATACTCTTCTCTATCATTTAGAGACTTTATTTTCAGAGAAAATATACAAGCCCAGATCTATATTGAATGGAACGTATCGATCCTGACTCTGGGTACCTTTGTGTACATGCTTTACAAAAAAAAATACGCAATTAATAAGACTGAATAGAGCTTAAAAAACAATCATTTTTTTTTACCTGTAAGAACGGAAAACCGTCCTATGAGTTAACTTGTTTTTTTCTATCCCTTCTTTAAATATTTTCTACAGTACTGTGAACTTTTAAACAATTGAAAATCGGAAGATTTTTTTTTCAATTAACTGTTGTATACTTAGTGATAAAACACAGTCAAATTTTAAACACGCATACTCTGAAATTTGTTGCAACGAATATTTTTCTGAAAATCAAATTTTAAATTTTGAATCGTAAGATGTATGAATATGAAGCTTCAAAATCTTACCAACACACGGTTTCAAATTACATGCCATGTTTTCCATGGTCATGACCTGACCATCACCTGGTTTTCCCTAAATTTATAAATATCATAATAAAATCATCCATCATTGAATACAATGATACAATAACAATGTGAATCTGTGAATTCTGTACTTGTATGACGTTAATATATACTTTAAGTATAGCATTGAGGGTGTTTACAAGAATCAGGTTCCCCATTATAAGTCCCGTTTCCCGAGGCAAAACTGAGGGGAATATTCCTGGTCGAGAGAAACTTGAATCTCATTCAATTATATATATATACTTTTAACTATTTTTATATTACTGATACAAACGTAAACTTTAAAAGAAATAGAAAGTGTGATTTCAAATGAGATATTTGTTATGGCCATTTCGGTAACTAGACTTTTTAGGGTCATTAGTACGATGTGACGTCATCGTTTTTGGGGCACAGTATTTTTTTTGTGTAGAGCCCGTGTTATCATGGCAGAACGCGGCAGGGCTTGGTGCCGCATTTGTTACCAGTTTGCCATTTGCTAGTTTACTATATGATATTTTCCAGTCTTTGTACTGATATTTATTTCACTGGAGGAAACTTCTAATTGTAAATATTTTGTACTGACTCCGGACAGGAAATTAAGGAAACAACGTTGTAAATGCGTCCAATGATTACCCATCCTAACAGAGTCTTAACAGCGAATGGACCTTTGTGTACACTAGTAATCACATCCCATGGCTCCATTGCTTTCGGTACGTTGACTCCAATCAACAAACCAACATCACTATCTATTGTGTCAATATGTACATCACGCAGATGCGGCCATCTTTGTAGGTCCTCGGGCGTAACAATGTCTTTCTTGGATTTGGGCAGATCCGGTTGAGTGTATATAGGAGGTAAGTCAATTGTGTGATCACCATTTAAATCACTCACTTCAAGACCAGATAGAATGCAACAGTTTTCTGTCCTCTGCTGTCCCATGGTTGTTAAGTTAAGCACAGTCCTTTTGCCTTCAAGGTGAAGTGATCTTGCGATTTCCTCTGTACAAAATGTCGCTGTACTCCCAGAATCCAAGAAAGCATAAGTTGTAATAAATTTGTCACTGTTTCTTGATTTCAGACGTACTGGTATGACCGGAAGCGCTTGCCTCACTGAGTCCCCAGCCCCCTTATGCGCTGTTGAAGAAACGGCTGCAGATGAGCTGTTATTGTTTTGATCAGTAGTCACTGGGTTTTCCTTGCCTTGTCGAGGATTCACATGAAGTATAGATGGGTGACACTTCTTACAGTGAACGCAGTATAACTTGTGTTGACAGGCTCCCTTAAAATGTCCTGATCTCAAACACGAGAAACACAGTCCCTTAGACTTCAACACTTCATATCTGTCCTTTAGGGGTAACTTCATAATGTTCCTGCACTCTTCCAATGAATGTGATGTGCCTTGACAATAAGCACATGGTTTCATAAATCCAGATGATTTTGGTCTATGTTGTTCATATGCATAATTGTTTGTAGATAGATGAGATTCCACGGTCTTAGTTGCAAAGTTCCCTTTCTGTTTTGAGAATGTGGCTGGTTTAACATTCTGTCCGTGGGTTGAAGACGTTGAGATATTCATCACTTCTCTTCCATAGATAGGGTCGTTGGCCTTTTTAGCTTCCTTACGAACAAACTTCACTAAGTTCTCAAACTTCACAACTTCTCTTCTGTCTTTGAGCTCGTACACAGCATTTCGCCACTTTTCTTGCAAGTAGAACGTAAGTTTCTTTATAATAAGTTTCATGTTCTCTGGATACTCTAAGGCTCTAGCGCTGGCTACGTTATTGACAGCATGCTGACACTCGGTAAGGAATATTGCATAGTCATCAAGTCCCCTTGCATTGTCTTGTTTTATTGATGACCAATTCAATGCTTTTTTCATATAAGCTTGCGCAACAATGTCTGGATCACCATATCGATCTTTGAATTCATCCATCGCTGCCTTGTATCCTCCTTCAGCATTTAAGTGTGAATATCCAGTCACTATTCTGTTAGCCTCACCACTGGTAAATTGCAGAAGAAAGTTCAAACGTTCTTCATATGAGCTGGTATTAGCACACACCCTTGTATTAAACTGTCTAATGAATCTCTGGTAGTCCATTGGATTCCCTTCAAACTTCTGAATTTCTGATTTAGGCTTATTTAGTTCTTGTGCCATAATAAGTAGGCCTTCATGTTCACGATTATGACTGTGTGGATGTCCTGAATTGTATAAGTCACCGAATGTTAGTAAGTTAGGTACATATTGACATACATATTGTAATTTCGCTAGATATGTGCACACTTATTATGTACGGAAGATAAATCTTTTTACTGCCATGTTTTTCTATCATGATTTGTGTCAAGAAGAGTTATGCCTCTTTGTTTACATTTTGACGACAGTTTGTGTATTGAAGTATTTCTAGAACATGTAATACATCATGATTATTTGCTAGGATGTGTTATCATGTGTAACTTGCTTGAAATATCTTGTATTTATAGTATTTTTTCTTTGTATTTTTTGTAGTAAATCGTCGTCATTTCCAAGTTATTTCCACGTCATATTTTCCAAGTCATTTCTACGTATACATCCATGTCAATGTAATCGTCATTTCAACGTCATTCACGTCATTTCCATGTCAACTTCAACTTCAAGTCATATTTCCATGTCATTGTCATCGTCATATCTCATCATCCTCAGAAATAAAATCATTGGACGCATTTACAACGTTGTTTCCTTAATTTCCTGTCCGGAGTCAGTACAATATTAGCTTACTGAACGAACTCATGGGAGTAAGGTCCATCAATGTATCATACCAATGTAAAGGTTAAATGTAAAGGATTACCGATAACAAGGAACTGGCTTTCGCCTCAGTGAGAGTTTACTGACTTACGAACGGTGACTAGCCGATTTTTTTACGATTTCTAGTGAATTGGGCTCATCCAATGATCTTTTTTGGTAGACCAAAAACAAGAAGAGGTATAATGATATAAAATGTCGTGGCATCTTATCTGTCTTGTAGACAACAACAAGTTCATGTCAACAATACTTCTTCAGACTTTAATACTGTAAATTGTGGTGTTCCTCAAGGTAGCATCTTAGGACCTCTTTTATTTTTAATATATGTCAACGATATAACTGTCAGTATTGATGATGACTGTAAATTAATTTCATATGCAGATGACAGTGCCATTTTTTATGCACACAGAGATCCTGTTATTATTACTCAAAAACTGGGCATTGTTCTTGACAAATGTTCTTCTTGGTTAGTTGACAATAGATTGTCACTCCATTTACGTAAGACAGAATCTATTTTATTTGGTCCTCCAAGAAAGCTTAAAAGCATCACAGATTTTAAAATTGTGTGTAATGGTCATATTATTAAAGGTTCTGACAGTGTTAAATATTTAGGAATCTGTATTAACAAGTTTGTTTCATGTGAAAATATTGTTTTAAGTATCATACAAAAAGTTAATGATTGACTTAAGTTTTTATATAGAAATGCATCCTGTCTTAGTACACATTCTAGAAAGACCCAATGTTCTGCCTTGATACAATGCTATTTTGACTATGCCAGTTCTTCTTGGTATTTTGGAATAAACATGCAAGCAACTGAAACACAAATTACAAGTAACCCAGAACAAAGTAGTACGGTTCATTTAAAACCTTAGTCCCAGAGAGAGTATTTCTAACAATATTTTAAACTCTCTAAATATGTTAAGAGTGGAGAATAGAGCTAAACAATTAAGATTAAATCATGTTTTTAATATATATCATGGTAATACACCAGCTTACCTCCATGAACATTTTGTTTTAAATAATAATATCACAAGAAGTGCAACAAATAAGAATTTTATTATACCAAAGATAAAAGGGAAAGAGTCTTCATGTTTTTTCTATAATGCAATCAAAGATTGGAATACATTGCCACTGGAGATTAATTAAAGAGGTGAAAACAAAACAAAGTTTTAAGAAAGCTGTAAAATCTTTTTTATCTACAAATGCTAGTGTGACTACATAAAAAGCTTGTCTAATTTTTATTGTTTATTTATTATATTAATATAATAAGCATTTTGTGATAATTATCAAGACAAAATATGCTACTGTAAACATGTCATTTTTCAAAGCATTATGCTATACTCATAAAAGTACCTGCCTAAATTCCAATGTTTATGCAATTTTGTTATTTTTTGTTTACTAACATGGTTGTTATTTGAGGACACCATTGGAAATAAGCTTTTTAATAAGGCTTTTATGGTATATCCTTAGGTAATATCTATCAACTGTATGTCATGCAATGTATTTAATAATAAATACATATTAATGTTAAATTGGTCTTCCTTAATTAGCATAATGATGAGATAATGTCTGTGTATTTCTTTTCTCTAGTTGTATGCTAGTCAGTATTTTTTTTAATTTGTTAATCATGACATTCTGTGATATTTTTACCTGAATAAAATGAAATGAAATGCAGTCAAAATTCCATTCCTTTCTGAGAGTGTATTTTTCCATTATATCAAAGAAATACAAGATATGGATTTATCTTTATTTTACGGTGAGAGCATCATCATGTGAGGTGAACACATCTTACCTTTATGTTAGTGCTTTATTACGTGGTGTAAAAAGTGCATGACAATATGTGAACGTATCTTTATATTATATCAACACTTCATCACATTATGTCAAAACTCCATTCCGTGATGTTGATATATAATTACTTTATGTCAACTCTTTCTTATGTGATCTTAAAATATCTTTATACTGTGTTAAATCTTTATCATGTGGATTCCAAAAGTGCATTACCTGATGTAAAAATACATTTACATTATCTCAAAGCTGTATATCTGGTATAAAATGAATGTTATCGACCGTGTTTTTATGACTGGTAAGAGATGGGGTCCTGATTGATTAGGAAGAATTACAGGCACAAAATATCAGCTCCCCTCTTTTCCCAGAAATAACTTTACCATGGAAAATGTAATGTTCATTGACAGAACAGCCCCTCCCCCACTTTTTGTTGAAGTATAGTCCACTGAGGGTAATGGAGTATATTTCACAAAAAATTAAGACTGATCGAAGTTGGACCCCCCTCCCCGAAATAGGATTTTCGGGCTTGGAGTGGACAATTTTTTTTGGCTTCTCAAGTTTTTTTTTCGGGCGAATTTTTTTTTTGGTTGAAACCCCCCCCCCCCTTTCCCAAAAAATGATACGTCACTGGAATTAGCAATTTTTTCCACCATTCCAGGGCCAGAATTCTATTAGAAATATCTACCAATCCTCCATCTAAATCAATTGAATATACCCTAGTAAGCATGCATGGACACATATCGGTAGCGGATATGAAAATCTTGAACAAAAAAAAAATGGTCTAGCCCGAAGGGGGACGGTTTATAGTTGGAGACCACGGGGGAAAGCAGGGAAGCTCTCAGGCTTTATAGTTTTCTAAAAAAAAAGTTTTCAACTTAGTTCACTTAACTTAATGTGAAACTAATACTATGTCCTAAAAGTAAAAGCAATAAAATTATTAATTTTATGTACATGTAGATTTTGGTCACTAAAGATGGTAGGGCGGTATTTCCCCCTCCCCCTAACCCACCAGTGCACGTGTGTTATACGATGTGTTTACACTTTTAAGAAAAAGGAAAGTTCAAGACCTATAAAAAAAATATGACAATGTTCTTAGTAAGATCAGAATTTTAAAACCTTTATCCAAAAAAAAAAAAACAAACAAACAAACAATTCAAAAAAAAATAAGAAAAAAAAAATGCTGCACGACTCATAATATTTGATTTATTTCATTATCAGATTAAAGTAAACGCCATTGAATTTCGACGTGACTTTAATGCACAGTTGCAGTGTTAATGCTTTGCACGTTTCAAGATTGTCAATCCTTATGCTCATATAAAGGCCGAGGATACCCGTGTTCGCATAACGTAATAGTGAATCGACATAATGTATAAGTGTGAGGTAAAATCATAAAGAATTGACATAATGTACTAATAGGCTAACACAATGTAATTGTTGTTTGATTAAATGTCGTGAACAGTAAACATAACGAAATGCAAGAATGTGTTAATGTCATAAAGTGTTGACATAATGTAAAGGAAGGTTTACACGATGTAATAGTAGTGTGGGATAATATCATAAAGAATCGACACAATGTAATGGAAGGTTGACACAATGCAGTAGTTGCGTGGGTTAATGTCATAAAGAGTTGACATAATATAATGGAAGGTTGACACAACGCAATTGTAGTTTGAGTAAGTGTCATATAGAGTTGACATAATGAAATGGAAGGTAATGACATAAAGGAATAATAATAGTGCGAGTAAATGTCGTAAAGAGTTGACATAATGGAACAGAAGGTTGACGCAATGTAATAGTAGTGTGAGTAAATGTCATATAGAGTTGACTTTATGTAAAGGAAAGTTAACACACATCTTTGCTGGCCAAGGATTTCTGATACACTACTCTCCTCATAAACCCTTGGCCTACGGTGTTCATAGAAATTGGAATTTTTTCCAGAGTTCTGATTGGATTTCAGTACACCCGGTTGACCAATCACCAATTGTTTTTTTTGTAAATGACAATATTTGCGTTCGGGATACATCTTCACTCTTTAATCTCGGTAATGAAAAATGCAAGTAAACAACGATCCGTGAGATAACATTCAATTCTATAAATAGCCACGGTGTCATCCAAAATCTTCTAAATGTGTGATTAAGAATCTATATTGAAGCTTCAAATTTGTTCGATAAATGATGAATGAACATAACTCAATTATTGCTTCTTAATTATTCTTGAAAAAAACTTTGATTTAATTTTTGTAACACGTGTCTTTTTTTCATGCGATGACGCAATCTGTGCGTACCTGATAGATTCGAGATCACGTGAAAACAATCCCGTCTTTTGACTTCACCGTATGCCAAGGGTTTATGAGGAGAGTGGCGTATCAGAAACCCTGGGCTAGAGAAGATGAGAACAATTCAAAATAAAAAGAAAAAAATGCTGCACGACTCATAATATTTGATTTATTTAATTATCAGATTAAAGTAAACGACATTGAATTTTAACAGGATTTTAATTCACAGTCGCGGTGTTAAGGCTTTGCACGTTTCAAGATTGTCAATCCTTTGTCGCTTAAATTTTTTTATTTAAAGATGCCATTCCTAAATCGC